AGGAGAGGGATAAGATTAAAATTTACCCAAAAGAAGTTACAGTTAAGAATGATAAAAATGATATTAAGGATTTATTAGCTTTCTAAAGTATGATACTGGTTTTGTTATTACGCTGAATAAAATTAGTCTTCTAAAGATGCACCCTAGAATTGTTACAGATGAAATGGTATAATCTGATTAAAAGAATCTGGGGTGGTGGACACTGGCTGATTTAGATTTTTTTTTTCAGTTATACCAGTTTATTGCTACCAACGCATCTCCCTCCACTCTCGTGCACACATGCTCAGTCATGTAATCCCATGGACTGCAGCCCGCCAGGCTCCTCTGTCCATGGGCTTTTCCAGGCAAGAATACTGGAGCCGGTTGCCACTTCCTTCTTCATGATTTGGATTTAAAGATGAAACAGTTTTGGCCTTGAGTTGGTAACTGTTAAAACTAGGTGGGAAAGATGGGGACCATGGGTGTTCACTGTACTGTCAGGATCTGGGCAGGTGCAGGTCTGGAATTTTAACCTACTTAGAAGCTAAACTGGTAGCAACCCTGTTACCAGTTTCATCAAAGCTGGCAGAGGACACAAGCCTCCTTAGTCAGACACAAAGGATATTAATCACAGCTAAAGCAGTTGCCAGAGAGTCATGCCGGATTCCAACAGGTCCCAAACTCACCTCTGCCCCAAGTTCCCCGGGTGCAGAACAAAGAGCTGACCACCGTAGTCTGCTCACAGAACAGATCCATTGCCAGAGAGGGATACTGAGGATGGTGGACTGAGTGTTCACAGCAAGTGGAAGCTAAGTCCGCCCTTTGTCGTGGGGGAGACAATACTTCTTGCCTCAAGGTAGAGGTAGCTTGCGGAAAACACAAGCCTGGGAAACAGTCCAGGCAAAGAGCAGTCAGGGCTTTGCACTCTTGATATACCCAGCAAGAACTTGCAGGGGTGCCGAGGGTCCATGGCAGATTGCCTAACCTAACACTATCTCTTTACTTTTGTATGTTTGAAATTACCGCTAAGTCCTGTCAGATATATAAATATATATAATATATAGAAATACATAAATAATATTATATAAAAGAACCTTACTGTGTAGCACACGGAAGTCTACTCTATAATAACCTCTACGGGAAAAGAATCTAAAAAAGAGTAGATATGTGTATATTTATAGCTGATTCACTGATACAATGTTGTAAATCAACTATTCTCCAATAAAAATCAATAAAAAATAAAAAATGCACTTTGGAATCATTAACATACTGGGTAGAGAACTTGCTTTTTGTTTTACTCAATATTTCCTGGGTATTTTCCATGTCTGTACACTAGATATAATTCATTCTTTTAAACTGCTGCTTCCTCCTTCAGTTGATTAATGATATTATGGACTGAATTATGTCCATATGTTGAAATTTATAAGTTGAACACTTAACCCCCAGTGTGACTGTGTTTAGAGATTGGGCTCTCAGGGAGGTAACTGAGGTTAAATGAGGTCCTAAGGCTGGGGCCCTAGTAAGATAGGACTGGTGTTCTTATATGAGGAAGAGACACTAGAGACCTCTCTCCAAGCAGCTGAAGAGCCATGTGAGGACATTGTGTGCTTAGGTGCTCAGCTGTGTTCAACTCTTTGCGGCCCCACGGACTGCAGCCCACCAGGCTCCTCTGTCCACGGAATTTCCCAGGCAAGAGTACTGGAGTGAGTTGCCATTTCCTCCTCCAGGGGGTCTTCTTGGCCCAAGGATCAACCCCACATTTACTACATTGGCAGGAGATTCTTTACCACTGCACCACCCGGGAAGCCTGAGGACACTGTCTACAGGCTGGGAATAGAGATCTCATCAAAACCCAACTCTATCAGCACCTCATCTTGGCCCTATACACTCCAGAACTACAAGAAAACAAATTTCTGTTGTTTAAATCACCTGGTCTTTGATATTTTGTTCTGACAGTCCAAGCAGACTACTGCAGATGTATTCTACTTTATTTAATTTCCTAATAAGAGATGTGGGGATTTTTAAAATTAAATGTAAGGTAGCAATGATTTTATCACACATACATGATTATGCTTAGATACACTCTTAGAACTGAAATGTGTCAAAGGGCACACACATCTTAAATCTGATTCTGCCAAACCACCCTTTTAAAAAAAGTACTATTTAACAGCCCCCCAATACGAATGCTTGTTTCCCTAAACTAGAACCAGTTTGCCACGTGACAATGCTCCCTTGTTCAACAACATTTATTCAGTATCTACTTCTGAATAGTACCAGGCACTGTGCAATGTGTTTAGGATATAGTGGTGAACAAAGAATTAAATCTGTGACTTCAAGGATCTGTATTCCAGGTGGAAATGGGAGCTAAGGCTACACATATAAATACACAAGATGGCCTGGGAAAGCTGTCTCTGAGAACATCTAAGCAGAGACCCAGATGGAAAGAGGAAACAAATCTTACCAATACTTGAAGGAAGAATGGTAAGAGCGTTTCATGGTTTTAATTGTCTTTTAAAAATAAGCAAAGTTGGGAGTTCCCCGGTGGGCTAGTCATCAGGATTTGGTGCTTTCACAGCGGTGGCCCTGGCCCAGGTTCAATCCCTAGCAGGGAAACTGAGATCCCTGCATCCCCTTAAGCTTGTGAGGCATGGCCGAAAACGAAGACAAAAACAAGTTGCAATTCTATTCCTCGCATACACCTAAAACAATTGAAAACAAACAGGTGTTCCAATACTTGTACATCAACGTTCACAGCAGCACTATTCTCAACAGGGCCACTATACAGGCAAGAATAAACAGCTCAAAGCAAGGCTGCAAAGGATAAGTAGGAAAGTGTCAGAAGAAGTGCAGAAGTTTCTAGACAGAGAAGTTAGCAAAGAATGAAATCTAGAGACTGGACAGTGAGAAGGAAAATAAGGCAGTGATAAAGGCATAAGACTAGGCGGTGACTAGGACATAAGAGGTGAAATATGGGGGGACAGACAGACACTAACTGGCACTCACCTTGATATAAAATGGGTCATTTTATCAGCCTCACCAGATACAGCCATTCATTAAGAATAGTCCCAAGGCTCAAGAACAGGAAAAAACCTTCAGCGAAAAAACTAGAAACATAAAATGTGCAATAAGGAAAAGTGCTTAGAATATTCCACTTGTACCTCTTGCAGGGCTTCCTCTAGCTTTTGATTTAAGATTTATTTGCATGCTTTTCTCATCCTCTCTTCCAGACTAGAATTTCCTCTGGAGCAGGCACCATGTCTTTGTCATTTAACATTCTCAACAGCACTTCAAGCACAATCTGAATGAGGCTGAATCTGTCACCTCCAACTTAATCATATTAACATAATCCCTCCAGTCACCTGGGTACAACCTCAAAGTCATCCCTCCACATGCCTGTGGCCAGAGACCAGTCTGGGGCTCTACAATCACCCTCTCATCTTGTCTTTTTCACTGCTGAGCACAGTTTAGTCCCTCATTACACTCATCTAATTAGTATCCTAGCTAATATTTTTCCAGCTGGCTCTATCCTCACACTTCCATAATAATGTCCCTAAAATAGAACAGTTATTTTACTCTCCTACTTAGAACTGTAAAAATGTCTTACCAAAAAATAGATTAAAAATAAAGTAAAAATCCTAGTGTAAGCGAATGGATACATGTATTATGTATGACTGAGGCCTTTTGGTGTTCACCTGGAACTATCACATTGTTAACTGGCTATACTCCAATACAAAATTTAAGAAAGTTTAAAAAACCCTGGTGTAGCTTTCCCAACTCTACTTTTTCTGCTCTATCTCCTCTAAAGATCACTCACATATCCAGCCCTCTGGGCACACTAAACTACTGAATATTCTAAGGATTTGCCCTGTGTTCTGCAAGCATGCCTTTGCTCACGTGGTTCTCTCTAATCCTGGTACTTCCTCCCCAGCATTTATAACTTTCTTTTTGCCTGACGCCTACTTTCATCTTCTCTACTAGGCCCTAAGCCTCTTGGGGGCAGGATCTTTGTATCCTCTAACACCTGCTTATCAACTGCTTTCTATCAATATTCATGCACGGATCATCCTCACACCTCACAGCACCACGCCCTGCTCAAAACAGGTAACAATTATTTAAATGAATGATGTTCCAGGCTCACCTCCCTCACCCTTCTGTCCAACGCTGAGAGAAAGTAAATAATAAATACTTGTTGAATTTAACTGTTTGGACAAAAATAACGCGATATGGCCACATCTTAAAAGCACATTTTAGGTCCTTCCAGCTGAAAATGGTGAGCCAGCTTCAGAGCTATCCCCCACCGAGATCTCGCCTTTTGAAGCTGGAATTCACTGAACTCACACAGGCGGAGCCTCGCTTCGAGGACGGCTGCACAGAACAGAACTTGAGGCCCTCTCTCACTTCTGAGCCGTGAGGGCGGAGAGGGAGGGGGCGTGACCTTCACAGCCGCCCGGCAGCACTCCGCCCTGCAAGGGCCCCCTGGTCCTTTCCCTAGCGGAGTACCGTTGCCAACGCACCATCACGTAGATTTCACTCTCGTAACAATCTCGTGAGGCAGAAATTCTCATCATCTCCCTGAAGAAACAAGATCTGAGGGGGAGTGGGGTGGGGGAGATGGAGAAGCTACAGAAGAGGCGTGGCAACGAGCGGCTGCGAGGAAGGCGGGTGGGAGCCCAGGACTCGAGCGGGATGGATTTCGTTCCCGGCTCAGCCCTGATTCGAGCCCTGTGAGCTCACTGGCAGCGGGAGGCACGGGGCGGGCGAGCAGACGACCCGAAGGTCCTCCCGCTCTCACAGCCCGGAGGCGAAGCCTCTGTGAGAGCCGAACGGCTCACACTCCCCCCTCGGAGCCCCCAGAGTCCCCCGCGCGCCCGCCCCCTTCGCTCTACCCTGACGGAAGTCCCGCCTCGCCCGGCCGCCATTGGACCCGGCTTCGAGGGTGGGGGGTGTCTCGCCGCGGGTTGGCCGCCCGGCGGCGTGAGCCCTGGGCGGCCACTGCGAGCCCCAGGCTAGGGGGACCTTGCTCAAGAGCCGCGAAGACGCGAGAGTCGAGCGCGGAAGGTGGGGGTGGAGGTGCGGGGGTTGGCGCGGGGCGCCGAGCGCCAGCAGCCGGCGGGACTTCCGCCACGGGGCCCGGAAGGGGCCGCGCTACCGCTGGTGGGAGTTGTAGTCCGCCGTGGTTGGGGGGGCCCGCGGCTCATGCGCGGTGCATCGAGGCTTGTTTCACATCTGTAACAACAGGTGAATTGGGCTTTTAATTCTCCCCTTTCGTGCCCCCACCCCCGAGGAGCTTCCCGCAGCCCGGGGTGGTCAGCGCGAGGAGGGGGTCCGGGTCCGACCGCCGGCTTGGCTGAGAGTGGGGCGGAGAAGCGGGCGGGCCCGAGGAGCAGGCCGGGCATCCTAGGCCTGCCCGGGAAGCCGGCCGGGCCGAGCCTTGAGCAGCCAGGCCTCGGCCAGCCGTTGCCATGGAGCCGGGGCGGGGGCGGGGGCCAGACCGGTCCGCCGGGGCGGGCCTCGTAGCCAGGGGCACCGCGGGGGCCGCGGGAGAAGCCGCTCCATTGGCGCAACGACGCCTCCGCCTCAGGGGATGCTCTGTTTCCCCGAGGCAGGGCCTGGAGGAAGCCCCCGGAGTGCCCTGGGACCTTTGTCTGCCCCCGTGCCGCCTGGACCGTTCGTCCAAAAGGAGGCCTGGTGCATTCGGGCCCCCCTGGTTTGCCCTCTTTTGCACCGACCTTGTCACTGGGGGAGGCCAAGGGGTGAGATGTTCTTTGTTTGCTGGTGGCGACTTGCCCCATTTCGCAGGGGAAGACCTAATGCATGTTGGGTCCTTTGTTTGCAGTGATCTGGAGTCCCAGGAGTCCTCAGAACCCCTGAGCCAGGAGTATGGCGTTAGCATGCTGTCTGGCTAGTCCTCGTGTAGCAACTCTGGTCACCTTAATTATGATTTTGCAAGGCGGAGTTGTCCACTTTGCAATCCCCATCCACAGGGGCTTGTCATACACTGTAGCAAGTGGACTGCAAATGGCCAGTTGCACATCCTCAACCTGTTTTTGCTTGCAACTGAACTGGTCAGAGCAAAATGAGACATTGTTTGCTGGTTTCCCTTGCAGTTTCTTTGAAGGTGATAATTCCAGTCATTGTGGGTCTTGACTACATCTTCTAATTTACACTTAAATCTTAGAGTTTCCAGGAGGGAGATCCCCCCCCCTCCCCCGATACAGTATTTCGAATTTCCATAGCGCTCTTTATCTATGTAGCTGTTTTAGGTGCATAAAATACATCCTTTGTTGCATTTTCTGCTTTGTAGATTGCCCCTTTACCTTGAAAAGATACTTAATCTCAAAGTGTTTTAATTTGTGGAATTGTGGTCCAGAGTTTATCAGGTGGACCTTCTTGCCTCTTTCAACCTTTGAAGATGTCAGTATAAAACAGTCTTCAAAGAATGAACCATGGACCTTGTAGGCAACAGCATGACATCATGAAAGTAAGTAGTATAGTATAAGCATAGAAAACTTAGGAGCTCAGTACCTTAACTGCGATTTGCATTCTGCCCTGAGGCAGTTATGGCATCCTGAGCAGGTTGTGTAAACTTTTCTGGGAAAATCTGCCCCCATTTCCTCCTCAGGGGAAACAGATTAAGGGAGATAAAGTCTGTGAAAGTACTTTGTAAATGGTACTTTTACCGATAGAAATGGTACTTAACAGTCTTGTTTTCACAACCTGAAAGAGCTTCTTTATCTACCTTAGATAGGTTTCTATTATAGTCATAGGGGAGTCTTAACCATTGAAGCAAGTTTTGCTCTGGGCTTGCAGAAAATGCTTTGAGAACTGTACGTCCTTCTTTACCGTGACATTGTATTTCTTGGTATCTTACAGGTTCCGGTATAGGACAGCTCACAACTTGATGGGTATAGAGTGGGTCATGGCTGGTCCTGAAGTGAGGCCAAAGTGTATGATGTGTGTTTCATGCCACTAACAAAACTTGTCCTTGTGTATTAGAGTTAGTAGATGAATTTCAATGGTCCGGAGCAACTTTCTTCCCCTGTGGGGGCCATCACTTTAGTGACCCGGCATTGTACTTCCCAGGAGGAGGCCCAGCCTCGTGATGAGGAATAGCAAAGAGAGAATTCAGCTCCAGTTCAAAAGGATACAAAATCAGAGACTGTCACTGCTCTTGTAAGGTAAGTTGATTTAGCCACGCATACAGAGCAGTGGTGGGTCTCCTGCTCAGCCGCACTGTGCAGCAAAAGGCATGTGTTAAATCCATTTGTGGCTGTCTTGGAAGAAGGGTATCATTTAATTATACTCTCTCTCTATCCTTGAATCATCTCAGAGTAACTCTATCTGGAGCTAGGTGGTGTTTCATTATGCAAGAAATCTTGACGTAATATTATTTTACTTTTCTCTAGATTATTTAAGAGAGACTTTAAACTGCAAAGGTTTCTAACATAATAGTGTATAACTGGAAAGGCGATTTTCTTTTAGATTTCTATGAAATTTTCTGTAAAGTATCTCTAAAAGATCCTATCTTGAATCTCATCATATATATTCTTTAAGACTTATATAGGAAAAGATAGTGTCATATGAGCCTTGGTTGGCATGGAGAGGATCAGGGGCTTTTTGAAAGCAAAACCAAGTCTATTTACAAGCAAATTAACTGAAAACGTCTTAGCAAGAAAGTATTGATTCTTCAATAACAATCACTTAGATGTCTTAGATTGTATAATATTCAGATTTTCTTTAAAATCAGAATCTCAAATTCCACCTTTTTTCTTTTAATTTGGATAGAAAGAATCTATAGAATGTAACTGATTAAAGTAAATTGTATCATTGTTGATATTGTATTGAAGTTTTCTCTCTGAGCTACCATATCCTATCGGCTGAAATTTCCGGCATCCCTGGGGGAGAGGAGGCCATCAGGGCAGACCTGCTATGGACCTGAAAGATTCGTCCCCAGGTCAGCCCTCCACCCGCACCCCCCCACGATTTGAGAATGAGAGGGAATAGCAGGCAGGAGCAGGAGTGTAGGCGCCATTAGACTCCCAGTCACGTTGGATTTGCAACTCATCGTGATTTGCTAAAATGTTGTGTTAGATGTTTTTAAACTAATGCCACATACAGTTACTGCACTGACACAGGAGTAGTACAGTATTAAAAACTGTGGGGACTTCCCCAGTGGTCCAATGGTTAAGACTCCGTACTCCCACTGCAGGGGGCACAGTTTTGATCCCTGGTCAGGGAATTAAGATCCTGCATGCCATGTGGCATGGCCAAAAAAAAGTCTGTAAGTGTGGAGTTGGAGTGTTTTTTGCAACAAAACTGTTAAGCCAGAGGTGTTACTTTTGTGCGCATGTGTGTTTTTAAATCTCTAGGTATATTCCTAGTTAAATGAACTAATGAGTAAAATGCAGCAAAGTTTTTGGCCAGCAGCTGAACTTTAACTTAACATTTGTTATTTCATAGAGATTCCGCCTTGAAAAGCTTTTTGTTTTGAAGCACTCTTTGATACTGTCAGTCAAGTCCCATTCCTCAGGGCTTGACTAGGTTTTCTGAAAGCCCAGTATACCAGTTTGTCCATAAGGCCATCATCAGTCCCACTTCCTGAGAAACGGGGTCATGTAGGATTTCCTTTCTTCCCACACATCCCAGGATAACTGCAAGTATTGTGATGAGGTGGAAAGACGTGTCTCTCATGATGAAATCATCCCCTTCTGTTTAGGAGGGATCATGGAGTTTAGGACAGAGAAAAGAAGGAAGCTCTCAATTAGAAGCAAAGACATGTAATTACTTAATAGTGGAGGTGGCCCTTCTATCCTTAAGATTGGAAGCAGTTGGGGCTCATTAGTGAAGGGCTTCATTTTTCTTGTTTTCTGGACTGTGCTCTCTGTGTTACTGAAATCTGCTCTATGGTTCCTGAACTGAAAATGTTAACCACTTTTTTTTGGCCCTCCTTCTTCTTAGGATTCCAGCTTTCCCTCCTGGCCAGAAATGTTCAGCCTGGACTCATTCAGAAAAGGTAAGGATGTGACTGCACTTGTGGCCTCACGCCTGTCTTCCCGGTGATGGGCAGCTGTGAAGCCTGTGAAAATCCCTCTGGTGCATATTCACTGCTTACTGAAATCCAACTGTTTTTCTTGGCCAGTGTTTTACACCATTTCCTCTGTGAACCTTTCTTAATTCTATCAACCAAAAACAATCTCTCTCCTTTCTGATTTCCTCAGCACCACCTCTGTACTTTCTCATGCATCCTCTGTCTGAACCACTCATTGAGTCACTAGATTAGAAGCTCCCTGCACCCAGGGCCTCCTTGATCATCCATAGCACTTGGCATAGCGTTTTGCACGTAATAGACCTCAGTAAAAGCTGGTGGAAGTGGACTGAGTCATTGTTTTATATCAGTGGTTGGAGAAATTGCTGCAAGACTTGAAATCAGCGCCCTCCAGCAGCTGGGGTGAGAGGGCTGCATACGCAGTAGAAGAGCTGAGCCGTGGCAGGGCGAGAGGACAGTGTTCAAGAGCTTCTCGGAGAAAGTGGTGTAGCTGGTGAAGATTCAAGGCACCGGATTGCAAAGGTGTTGTATATCTTAGACAGGAGCGTGACTTTTCTCCTTTAAGGGAGTGAGGAGTACAACGTCTGTCACCTGTATTCAAGCTGACCATGAGCCTCCTACCTGTACATATTTGACAAATGAGAACCGTAACAGGCCATCCGTAACTGTTGATGAAAAAGATGCTCCCAGTTGTGTCTCCTTTCCGACTTGTGTCCCTGGAAGCCTGGAAAACCTTGGCCAGGTGGTGCCCTCTGTTGCCCACTGAATGGGGCCAAGAGGAGCCTGGATGCTCCAGGTCTCAGAGCCACCTCTTCCTGTCTCCTTGTTTGTTTTCAGCCGCTCCATCTGTTTTCATACTTCATGAAAAAACTAATCTTTGTCTTCCTCGTTGTGTCGGTTAACTGTGTCTAATAGGAAAACACTGAACTTGAGTGTGGACAGCAAGCACATTTTGAGCTGAAAATTAAGTACATTTAATTGCTCTGTGTTTATCTCCTCATCAGTGGGTGTTGATGTCCACCCACTTGTAACAGTTGGACAAAAATGGGTTCTCTCCTGGTGGGAGTGTCTGAATTAACAGTACTGATTTCTTAAAGAGATGGACAGCCCAATAAAATTAGAGTCCTCATCGTCCTCACTGTGATAGGGAAATGGTACCAGATGAGAGAGTTTCAGGGCAAAATTCCTTTCCAGCCTCTTCAACTTCACTTTCTAGGCTGGAAATTGATTTGTTCAAGAGGTTTTCCATCGGGGTGACACTGTTAGCACTCATCTTAGTGGAAAGCAGCAGAACCTGACTGAGCCAAAGCTACCAACCCCGATGCCCAATTTACATCGCACTTCTGTGTCTCACTGGCTGAGGAGGCTTGGGTGGAGACCAAGCCTCGCTGTGCCTCCTTCTTCACCATCTAAGTGGTCATAGAGTTGTTCTAAGGATCAGATGAGTTAATATGTATAAAGAGCTTAGAACAGTGCCTGACACCTGGTAAATTCACAAATCCATGGTATTAAGTAGTTTGAGGACATAATAATCAGACACAGTCTGAATTTGGGGCCTTGCTTTCCACACAGTTTAGTATTTTTACCAAGAGCTGTTTTATGCTTGAAGGTCTCCAGGAAAACCATTAATCAGAAAGAGTCACTTATTTGAATATTTTCCTTCAGGCAAACCTCTCTTTTCATGGCTGTAAGGCTGAATGCCTTCTCCTGTCTTCTGGTTTTTGGTTTGCATCATGACCTTGACAG